GAAGCGAGTCGCACCAGTACAGGCCGCAGCGCTCACGTAGGCCCGTCAGGGAAACGCGGCCTTGGCGCCTTCGGGGGCGGCTGTGCCACGAGGAGCCGGGAGGGCCGGTGTGGCCCAGGGGTGCCAGCAGGCTGCTTGCCAGCACGCAGGATTTTCCCCACCTTGGAGGGAATTCATTTGCCTCAGGAAGTGACCCTGGCCTCCCTGCTTCTCTGATGCCCGTCTGTCCCGCACCTTTTCACTGTGTGCCCTTCACACCGGTGTTTTTAGTTCTAAACAGAGCCAGGAGCAGCGTTTCTCCTTTTCACCATGCTATTAGGAGAGAGCTAGTACAGTCAAAAGTAACAAAACCTGCTCTTGGTCATGGGATTTGCCCAAAGGTACCTCTTGTAAGTTAACATGCTTGCAAAGCATTTTAAGATACAGCCATTCCTTCCCCCGCTGCATATTACTTATTAACTGTGGAGGACTGTTGGCATTTGAAAGTAGGCCATGGGTGAGTGCTTCATTAAAATGCACTTTGAAAAACACATTATGTGAGATAATTTTTAAAATGCAAATTTACATATATATCTATAAAAATTATATATGTATGTATATTCTTCAAATATAGGAGAAAGATAGCAAAAATAGAGACCTGGCCAGTTTCTGGTAAAAACTGCTGTTCGCCATTTTCTCTGGATAAAAGTGTATTTTAGTTTCTATGTTGGTATTTGTATTCCCTTTCTGAAAAACGTGACCTTCGAAACAGGGAAGAGGGGGCTGGAAACATAACAGTGTCTTTTATTTGCCCGTTGAGTTGTATGTTCATGTTTGTTCCTGTAATCCTCGAAATGCTGTACTTCGTACACACCATTTCGTCTTTGCAGTGTGTGTCACCACAAGATAAGAAAATGAAACTGAAGTTTCTGTCACTGGCCAACCGAAGCTGGGACTGCAAGACTTTTTCACTCTGTAAATATTAGCCAGCTATTTGAAGCCATGCTGTCCATGAAGAATATTAACTATGTACCAGGAATCAAGCCATAATGTAAACCCAGTTTGTTTGGCAAAAACAGTACATATTGTTCTGCTCCAAGGGGAGAAACACGGGGGCGGGAAAACCTAGCTCCTCCCAAAACGACGATATTTGTAAGTTAGAATGTTCGGTCGTACTAATTGCAGGAGCAAAACCAATAATACGAGCAAAACTGCATTGATGAGGGTGTCATGTGGTCCAAGGCCACCCTCAAAACCAGATTTGCTGTTTACTGATCAGCAAAGGACGGAGCCAGATGTGAGGCGAAGCAGTTTGCTACCCTCCAGAACACACCTGGCTCCCTGAGACTGAGTACACTCTACATGCCTGAGCAGATCCAGTATTTTATTATATTACTAGTTTGTCTTTACTGGTCTTTGTATGAAGTGAGAAGTAGCTCAGCAAGGTCTACAGGCTGTTAGCGAGAAGTTGCCTGTGAGACCCCCCCATGCTGGTGAGCTGTGGGGACGCTCCACACTCTGAGCAATTCTTGAAACAGCTCATTAAGAGTGGCACAGAATTGCCCACTGAATCTGTCCTTGGGCTCTCTAATGAAAAGTTGGTTATTATTACAGGAATTTTAGTATTGCAGGAATATTACAGAGTGAGGATTTATCTGTGCCTGCAAAAGCACGCTTCATACGTGTCTTCTTGAAACCACCTCCTATTGAAAGCATATCTTTGCTGAAATCATTAGTTAGAAATATTTCTAGTACAACTATGTCCCACCTCTTCTTATCTCAGTTGACACAGCTGTCGGTTAAAGTTGGTTATTTGGGGTTTTTTTACAGATGCATATAGGGGTTTTGCTGATATAAAACCCACACTGAAAAGCCTCTAGACTAGACCTACATGTAGCACACCTGGCCTGAGAATCACCAGCAACTGATAATTAAAGATGTTTTGCTGGATAGTTGTGAAGTTATAGTATGACCTGAGAAAATATATCAAGGTAAGAAGTCTTTCAAGAATATATTACATTCCAAAAAATCTGTAGTTGTACTTGAAAATACTCATGTTTATGCTTGCGCTGAATTTTCTTGGGAATTTTAATGAAATTCCTTTAAACTGTTTCATAGCTAGGCAAGGATAGAAAAAAAAAAGGATCTCTAGACATCCGGAAATGTTCTTGCTAATTTTCATTCTGGAAAAGTAAAAAAAATTAATTGAAGATGCATCCTTTTTTGACATGTTTGGAAAAGAAAAACACAGACACTAAAGAAACAAACACAGTGTAGATTTTTAAATATTGGTTTAATGAGATGTAAATTACCTCTCTGTACATGAGCTGAAGTCCTTTGTTCTCCAGCAGAGATTCACTTAAGGCAGCAGACAGACAGTGTTCCTCTGTGGTTCCTCCCAAAGGGCAAAGCTTTATACTCTCATCAAGTCTCCAAAGCAGCTCTGCTGTCATCAGCCTCCTGCTCTTCAGTAGCTGATTTGTAGAACAGCCTCGCCTAGAAAGTTTGCCAATGTAGCTGCAGTAGGAGAGCTGGTAAACCCTCCTAGAGACGGGATCCAATTTAAATTGCTTTAATAACTAGGTATTGCTTGTATCAGAACTGCAAAGGATGTTTTGCTGTTGAAACTGCATCTGCAGGTTTTCACCAGCAAAGCTGTATTGATTGGCAAATGTTGTTATAGTCTTGGTATTGCTAAATCAGCAAAACTTTTAAATATAAACTAGGCCTCCCACATCTGCCAATCAGATTACTCCTTGCCTAGGTTACGTAGGTCTCATGCAGCTTCCCTCACTTTTATTCACATTGAGAGTTGTACTTTGGTGACCTCTGACGAAATAACCATAAGCTTTTTATAATGGGATTATCTCCCGTTTGGAATTAAGCACCTAGGTTACTCCGAATGCAGAGAGCCTAGTTTTGTTCATAAGGTCAAAATGTAGGAAACCCTGGAATTACAACACTTGGGAAAGCACAAAAAAATTGCAGTTTGCTCTTCCAGTGTCTGGTGGTGAACAAGGCTGAATTGGAGATGTGTGATGAAGGAACTGTCTACTGACATTTCTGTATTTACGACATTCTGCATAGTGTAACTTTTCTAATACAGTTTGGGTTTCACAGCCTCAGAAGTTCTTAAGACAAATGGAATACATTTAGTAAAAAAAAAAAAAAAAATTGATAGATTGATAATTAGGAAAAATTCAAATACTGACATACTGAAAAATATGCGTAGTATGTCTAGACAAATGTACTAACCTATATTGCCCTTCAAAGCTTTGCAAGACAGTCCTGGCAGCTTGTAATTTCCGTAACATTTTCATTGTGATGAGTTCATCTTTACAAGAAGGCAGACAGACTGCAAACAGCAATGAGCCAGGATCAAAGGCTAACAACAGGGAAGAAAGTGTTGAATCCACATATTCCCGCCTTTGTCAATCTACACTAAATACCATGGCATAAAAACCAGATCTGTGAAATATTTTGGACAATATTATCAAACCCAGTATTTGGTATGTGGATATAACACCCAAAGGTGTGACAGAAGGCTTTTGGGAAGCACATCTTTATTTACACTGACTGTAACTAGCTGGGCTACCGGTAAGAGCCTGACCACAGCAGCTTGTGTTCCTGGTGCTAAAGACTTGCCAAGTTCCCACAAAGGCTTGTATAGTCTTTCAAAATCCCACGTTGTCACAGCTAGATTGTTACTGGTACCCGAGTTGACGTGCCACCAGCTCACCCTCTGAAATGACATCTTGGTGGGTCTTGGAAGATTGAAGGACGCGAAACCCAGATATATTTTACTCTGGCACTTCTGTGTCATCTTCAGCTACCCAGGCAGATATTTGCTACTGTTCTATGTTACCTGTGACTGGACAACGTTTTGCTGGGCAAGATTCTGGGTTGCTACAGAAAGTGTCTCTGCAGATCCATTCAATCAAGCAAGGCTCCAGTGACAAGACTCAAGGAACATAAATAATTCACATTTTTGCTGGGCTGCTCTCTGTGCCTTTCCTACAAGCAGACTGGCGGCTCAAAGGAAAGCAGCTGTGATGAGCTGGAACTCATACTAGAGAGTTAAAGGTATGTTTACTAAAGTATATTATATTTTCGAAATGTTTTGTTTCAGAGTCTTGATTTTTTTTTTGGAGAGGGACAACACCAGCAAGCCTCTCTGCCAACCATTTTTCAGAAAGATAACGGGAGAGATTCTTTGTTTAACTAAACCTGCTCCTATCACATCGCATCGCACTCCACCAGTTGTCCCTTGCTGCAGTACAGCTGCCAAGGAGGCATCTGGTTTTCTGACTGATAAAGCACACAGTCACGTAACAACCATGGAATTAAACCTGGAAACAGTCCCCTGGTGTTTCAGATTTGCCTGGCTGTTCCTACCTGTGAGTAACAGTGGCCATTGGCACAGATATCACTGAGTAACTACGGCAGTGAAGGACTCAGAATGTTTAGGCTCTGTTTATGTGTGGTGCTGGAACTGCTCATTAAAAGTTGACATTAAGCTGTAGAACTACTAAAATACCTCTTCTATACACAAATTCAAGAGTATTCCCTCTGTAGGAGTTGTAAACCCTTCTCACTCTGACTTTTACCGTCTCTGCAAACTATCAGTCCAGTATTTAATCCATTCCCCTCTCAACCACGCTTCTGCTGTTCAGATCCAGCAGTTCAACTCTTCCTTCCGCACCACCACCACCCACTTTTACAACTATTTTCATTGAATATGGGATGGATGTCAGTGAGTATGGGATAAATGTCAGTGAATATGGGATAGATGGAGTAGTCCACAGCTGTGCTTGGGTGAGCCAAGTTCTCCACCACCTTTAGCAAGTCAGTCACCCGAGAGCCTTGTGAGTAAATTCCATGTAGTGAAATAGTGTTTAGGTTGTATTTGTGTTTAACGTGACTGCAGCTAGCCTGGCCTCTGCTCAAGTCATGGGCTGACCTTTTTGTTACATTACAGTGTGGTCTGATAAGAAGCACACTGTATGGTATGTAATCCATGTAAAAATAAAAAAATCCTTTAGCACTTACATGTCATTTGTCTTCTTTAGTGGTCAGCTGCATCTGCTGGAGGTTGTGGGTGCCAGATCATTGTGCTGGGAGCTGCCGCCTGAATTACAGCCCCTCCTGCCACGCCTGCCCCCATCAGAGCTGTGTCTGGCTGCAGGATATTCTGTATTTTCATGCTTCTGCACACTGCACCAGCTTACTAAATGTTTTGAAGTTGGTGTGGGAGAATGTATCTGCTTTTCCTAGATCCCTTTTTAGAAACCTTTCTAGCCTGCCAACTCTGTGGAGTAAACTATAGCGTGAAACGCTGTAGACTTCTGGTTGTGGTCTCCACTTCCAAGAGCGACGATGCATGGATCCACATCAGGGTAAAGACCTGTTCCAGCCATATCTGTGCAACTGTCATTCCTGCCACAGTGGCAGGGCATAATGGGTGACGGAAGGCGGTGTTGTGATCCACTGTACTTCCCAGATCCTTTTGGGAAAACCAACTGCTCACCAGCTCCTTCTCATCCTGTATCTTTGTGCCTGATCGAGCCTTAGTGTATGACTTTGTGCTGGTCCCTGTTGAGTTTCAGTCTTCAAACATTGCTCCAGTTGTCAAGTTTGCTTTGAATTTGAATCCCATCCTCTTACTACATTGCGGCCTTTACAGTTTTGCACTATCAGCAGATTTCATACGTGTGCTTTCTATTCCATCATTCATATTGTTAGTGAAACATTGAACAAACTAGGATAGACCCAGCAGCCACCTTTCTGCGCTGACAGTGTATGAAACCTGATTTCTACAGACCCTAAACATCCACAAGACAAAAATTTCTCTTGAGACCAGATATCTGATATCTACTGCTTTTGGGTTATTTCTGAGTCTTGTTAGCTTATCATAGAAAGAAATTTGATTGCAATTTCTACCTGATATAATTTCTGCCTGATGAATCCATGGTAGCTGCTATTCCTCTTTGTGTTATTTTCCAAATGATTACAAGTAACTTTTTATCCTCTCCAAATTGAAGGAACTGAAGACAGCTGGTCTTTAATTTGTTAGTTCCAAAGACCAAACCTTGCTTCTTATTGATGATATTAAAGTCACACACCTTACATTAACCCACGAGAAATGCTGGAAGTGATTTACATAATGAATTTACAGCCTGCACAACTGTATGCTTACAGTGAGCGAGGATCTGACTAGCAGAGAAGCGTCTATCTTTGCACTAATACTGTAAAAGTCAATTGAAAAAAAAAGGCACTGTGAACACCAGTCTCCGAAAAGGAAGAGCTGTTCCTTAGCGTGTTTATGGAAGCAGACCCGAGATGGAGCCCTGCAGGGACATCCCTTCTGACTGTGAATCACTGCTAAATATTTTCAGCGTACAGTTACACAATCAGTTTTGCACCAACCCTATAGAAGTTTCAGCTGCTTTGCTTATGGGACTGTTATGTGAGACAAAAGCCCTACTCAAGTGGACATCTTTAGTGCTTTTTTCCCCCTCTCCAAGTAGTTTCTTACCCGCACAAGGATTTCTATTGGTTTGATAAGATTTTTTTAAGCTAAATTTATGTTGCCAATTGCTACTGTCTTTGTTACCTATTGTGGAAAAAAAAATTGAAATGTTCCCAAAGATTTGAAAGAGATTTTTAAAAAACATGTATTTGTGTTATTTTTTTTTAATTAAGAGCAAAGCTTCAGATTTTTTTTAACAAAAAAAATATTTTTAGCACACTATCCATCAGAAAATGCATGGTTTGACTGTGAGATGCAAAGTAGTTTTCCCTGAGGTCAATAGATAAGATGGGTGGTGGTCTTTCTTTCTGGCTCTTCAGTTAGATTAGGAGGAAGCTCCATGAATTGAATTTGATACTGCCCCTCCGGGCATTTTTCTGGGAAGAACTGTTGTGATTCTTGGCTAAAAGTCTCTTCTCACTTGCCTGGAAGTGTCAATTTGGGGAGTTCAGCTTACACTACTAGACCAATAGCTTCTTATTGTGGTGAAAAATCATTTTGTGTGTACCGTATCGCAAAAGGTTTCCAGTGTTTCTCTAGAGAAGAGCAAATCTGGGCTCAGGATGGCGTTTTAACTCTTACTTACTTAACACAGCCGTGTGCTAGCAACATTAACACTCACGGAACCTCGAGTAGGGACCAAAACAGGCACCCTCTTTTCCCACTCCCATGCTGGACGGCTTGCACTGCTATGCATCTCCCTTCCAACACATCTTCCCTCTCTCATTTTCAGGCTGGACAAGAAAATCCATGCATGGGTCAGAAAAAACTATTTTTGCAGTCACATGAGCTTCTGTGGTCATTAAATAAAATTGTTGCTAGCTCAACTGCAGAAACGCTTCCGAGAAACACATCTGTCCTTATCCCAGGCTGGACAGCCCTCCTGTATAAAATAATAAAAAAAAAAAAAAATAAAGACCCACAGTGGGCCGGACTCTGCATCCACTTACACTGGAGTAACCATACAGAGGGTGGGGGGACTGCAGCATTATCAGCGCACGATCTTTTGTTATCCGGACTCTTCCCCCATTCTTAAACAGGATTTTCCTGTTGCTGTGTGTGGGCTGGAAGGTTTAACTGCAGCCTGACTCTTCCTACTGCTATGACTGCAGTTGTCTCCTGGGAATCTTTATGGATATTGAGTAAGGAGGCATAAACCTGCCCGGCAGAGTAGTATTGGCGCTCTGCAAACCCAGCCTTTCTAGGGGGCAGCTGTCTTCATCGCCAAAGAGCCAAGTGAGCAACCGTCCCCCTCAACCCTTTACATTAAGGAACAGTTTTTGACTTAAGCCTATTTCGTCTCTTATAAGAAGATTAAAAGAATTAAAGGGAAACCCAGTGACCCGTTCAGTGCATTTAATATTAAGCCTATGACACATAGTTTCATTTTGCACAGGGCCAGAATAAGCAGAAGGACATGATTATACACCTTTTATGCTGCTCTTGAGGACTTCCAAGCCAGAATGCCCTGCCTGCATCCATCTCCAGAGAATCCCCAAAGCTATGTAGCTGCATACACGTGCCATCATCCACTGTTCTTGGAAAAAACATCCTATTTGAGTTGTAGCAGAGTAATTATTTCAATATATGAAGAGGAGAGCTACCCTGGATATGCTGCAAAGGTTTTGAGGAGGTGGAATGCGCCTGGGGCATGAGTGGGATGGGGCATGTGAAGCCATGGCCCCCTGCAAACCCTGTCCAAGGGCTCCTGCACAAGGGCTGGGCAAACCAGCACTTCCTTCATCCATGATCCGGGTAGATCCCGCTCCTCACATCAGTGCAATGGTGGCACATTGGTGTAGGGGGCACGGAGGGGACAGGGGATATGGCCTTGAAAGCGGGGCCCTGCAGTGGATCTGTGCCTGACAGCCTGCTCCCCAAGGCTGCAAGAGAAAATGACAAAAGCACGGTGACTTCTTCGCACCGGGTGGTGCCTAAAGCCCTCGCCTTTCCAGCTGAGCCCCAGTAATGCCGAACTGTAGTTTTTTTAAGGACTCCATAGACACTACAGTAAAACAATTCACTGGCTGACCTAAGCGGGGATGTTTAAAGAAGTGCTCACAATGTTCTTCTTCAAGCCCATCATAAAAGTCCCAGGCTAATTCCCAAGTGCTTTTACAATCCATTTGCCTGAGTTGCTAGCAGGGAAAAAACTCCCAACTACAGTTTATCTGCACGCTGTAGGAACATACAGCTGCTTAATATCCCTCTCTGTTTGCAGCACCGTGTTTGTCCAAAAAATACTTACAGTAAATATTGCCAATCATAAACAATCCGTCATGAATTACCAAACTGTTTTCTTCACATTGGGAGCAGCTGGTGTATTGGGATACTCTGCGAGAATCACTGCTTGGAGATGTGCCATGTGAGCTAGGAACTGGGACGGGTTACTGGCCTGGTCTTGCTTTGAGTTGGGTTTATGTGAGACAATACCGTGTTTGGGTAGCTTGGCATCGTTTTAAATATGTTTAGACAAAGGGTGAAAGTCGTGTATTTCTGTGTCTAATTAACCACTCCAGCACTGTGCAAGGAACCAGAATTTAGCCCCACAATAAAACCAACCCTCGATAATCCATATATATATATGTATATATATATAGTCTATGTTTTATATGATTTAGGCTGCAATTTCAGTTAAGTCAATAAATTAGCAGATTCAAATTATCCAGTCACCGAGTTAATACGGCAGATAACCAGAATATATACATACTGATGAGCTGGTGAACTGCAGCAGAGCTCAGCAGTAAGCAGGCGCCTTAGCAGGTTGCTTCAGTAAAATCTTTTTAGATTCTATCTGCTTTTTCTTCCTGGTAGCAGAAATTCTGCCTTCTCCTTTTGCCCTTTCCCCCCCTCGCCGCTTCTGTCACAGGAATAAGGAAGTGCACAGGTACCCATTCGTTTCGCTCATGGAACACCACAAAAATTACACACCACTACGTAAATAAGTAGAGGGGCAGCAAATATGCTTTCTTCAAGCTCTGCGTCTGTTATAAAGGGCCCCACAAGCATTGAAAAGTGGAAAAATCAGACTGATGCAGCCCAAGAAGTTAGCTCTGCTGAGTCTTTCTCCTTTGCCTTGCCCTTATATCGCTCTTTACCTCTGTACTCAGCTTGCGTAAATGTGAATGATCGGGAGAGCAACTCAATGCTTCCAGGCCAAAGTTTAGGAATGGGTTTAAATTCAGATCACAATGTTTTGCAATTTACTCTTGCCTTGTAAGTGTGCAAATCAATACACTAAGCGTAGGGCAGCGAAATGCCGTTTGCAGCAATTAACATTATAATCCTGCAAGACAGTTAAAGGCAGGCAAATTATTTTGATGGTAATAAACACATGTAATGATATCAGCACTCTCTGGTGAAGTCACCAGATCTTTGAGGTGGACCTACCTCCGGTTTTCCCTTGAAACAAATGTCCCAAAAGACAAATATCTTAACTCTAGAAATCAGATTTTATTAGAACATAAAGGGATACTTTTTTTTTTAAAGAAATAAAGAACACTTCAAGTGAGGCAGAACAGAAAGTTTCTAAATTAACTCCTTGTAGGGCAGGTTCTTTCTTTCAAATGCTTCTCTCTGTCCCATCCTGCTCTTTAAGGTGGTTCACCCAACTCATTGTGCTTAGCAGCACCGAAGCAAAGCATCTCGCCCCCTTTCCATGGGTCCAGCCGTGGCTGCAGCATCCAAGACAAGAGAGAGGCAGCCTTCCTCCCTGGTGCCAAACAACGCCCTGCGTGTTTTATTATATATCATGTTCCAGGGAACATGATGCATAGTAAAAATGAGCAGAACAGGTACTACCCCTGCAGGCTGAAATAGGAGGCCCCATGGCTGTGGCTGCTTTGCCCTGCAGCAGTGGGTTAGATGCTCTACTTTGTCCTGTTTCAAATCGGGTATCCAGGTAGGCAGGTCTTCACCATAGGTGAATGTATTTGGCAATTTTGTGTCTTGTGTTGCCTTGTGCAGGTTGTGAAGGAACTCTAGCAAATCCATAGCACATAAGCATAATTTATAACCAGCTACATTCTCAGTATTGCAAGGTAGATAACTATCACGGTCTTTGTTACCCGGGGTGTTGCAGCCTGGGTAACGTAAGGGATGTTAGGTATTCACTTGGAGACAGACGCAAGAGGCTGGTGATTTCACACCAGAGCTTCTGTGTGCCTTCAGAGTTTGTGACCCAGGTGGAGGTCTGATGAAGTAAACACCTCTCGTGTCCCATGTGTGGGTTGCGTAAAAGGGATGGGTGCATAAACATGAATCTCACAAAGCACATTACTTACCTAATTTACGTACAGTTTCACCAAACTGATTAAAACCAAAGCAGTGCTCTGTATTTTACATGATTTAGGCTGCAATTTCAGTTAAGTCAATAAATTAGCAGATTTGAATTATCCAAGTTAACACAGCAGATAACCAGATTACATAATGAAAGAAGTAATTCTTTTTTTTAACCTTATCTTACAATTTAATGAAGGCCTATTTTTCTTTTAAGCAGAAAAACCTAGCTACTATTTAGCTAATAATGTATTGACATAGTTAACATGTCACTGGCGGACCCTGTCATTACTGGGCATAGGTGGCTGTTGAATATTGAGTGTATATTTTGGTCTTAGGTCAGATAAATGATCCAAGCAGCCAAGAATTGTACCCGTGCTCAGCTCAGTGAAGTACAGTTATACAGATGCCTGTGTCACATCTTTAAACCTCCCTGTTAATAAACGTTAGCAGTTTTATGTTGTTCTTTGCCATCACTATGCAATAACACAGGATCTTTTTGAAGATTTAACATGTAGATAGATGATGGCTGAATCATCGCCAACAGCAGTTTGCAAATAGCACTGGCTTTTTCACTGAGAAGAACATACCAGTGACAGCGTGCTTTCCATTTTTAGCAACTCAAAATGACACGGTTCACCCTCCTCCTCTCTAACTGTGGCTTAATGACACAATAAATCCAGCATTAGGGTCTTTAGTATCTGACCAGATATGCCCTAACCCACTATGCAAGGTGCAGACCCAGCTTTCACTCATCCTGTCAGTTAAAATTTCTTGAAAAGTTTTGTTAATGTTGTACTGCCACACTTAATGCGATTACAGCTACTGTCTCCCTGTGCCATTTTCACTTTATGTCAGATCAGATAGCAGCTATCAGCTATTATAAAGCTCACATGAACTCCATACCATAGATGCTTAATAATTCAATGGAAACGTGGCCACGTGCCCACACCTAACTGGAACCAAACCCATATGCTTGGGGATCTGCTAGTGCATGGATCCAGTAATAAAAATGATGGAAGCAGTCTTACACATGCACTGCACACACACTAAAAATAAGACATGCTTTCACTGAGAAAAAGTTAAAAATAAAAAGATAAGACAGCTCTTTAATTTTTTAGGATCTGGCTCCTTAAGGTCACTCTGGGATTTTACCAAACTGGGTGTTCTTCCATAAGCATGAAAGGCAGAGTGCATAAGAGCCTTGGCTGAGAAAACTTAGCCCTGGCTTCTAGCTGAGATTGCCAGTGCAAGACCTACATCAGTATCAATTTTGTCTAATAAAAATAATTAAAATTTCTTTGGCACAGTATTTCTTTACATCCCTACTTTTCTTGTCAATCACTGTCATATACTCAGCATTTTTTAGGCACTCCAGATTTTTGCTGTGAAGAAACAGAAGAAGTAATAATTTTTGGGCCCCTCAGTTCAAGAAGGATATCGAGTTGCTGGAGCATGTCCAGAGAAGGGCAATGCAGCTGGGGAGGGGTCTGGAGCACAAGGCTGATGGGGAGCGGTGGAGGGAACGGGGATTTTCAGCCTGGAGAAAAGGAGGCTGAGGGGAGACCTTATTGCTCCCTACAACTGCCTGACAGGAGGGTGTAGTGAGGTGGGGGTCGATCTCTTCTCCCAGGTGATAGGACGAGGGGAAATGGCCTCAAGTTGCCCAGGGCAGATTTAGATTGGACATTAGGAAAAGTGTCTTCACCGAAAGGGTTGTCAAGCATTGGAACAGGCTGCCTAGGGAAGTGGTGGAATCTCCATTCCTGAACATATTTAAAAGATGTGTAGATGTGGTGCTTAGGGACATGGTTCAGTAGGCATGGTGATGTTGGGTTGACGGTTGGACTTCAGCTTGAAGTTCTTTTCCAACCTTAATGAGTCTATGATTCTAAGAGCTCTCAGCTCATCTTATTAGCTTTTGACCTAAAAAACACAAGGCTATTTGGCGTTTTATATATTATATTATATTATATTATAAAAGGACATCCACTCATAGCTGAACAATTGAAGTTTTCTTGTTCCAGGTATCAAGGGGCTGTGTTCTTCTCTTTATAAGCGAGTGAATTCAGGCTTAGGAAGACATGGTATGCTATCAATTTTGGTTGTAGCGTTTCAGGGAAGAGTGAGGAGTAGAAGAAGAGAAGCGACATCATCACTGCGAAGTCACTTCTTGGACTCCTGGCTCCCTGTGTTCAGCTGGGTTTCCGAAAGACACAACCACTACTAGTATCTCCATTGCTTTAAGATTGATCTTTGTGTGTTAAAAAAAAAGGCATTTTTCATGCTCTCAGGTTTTGCACTGTTGATTTTTCTTGGAAGACTGACATGTCTGGCCCAAGCCACCCATGACCAGTCAGCAGAAGGGCAATGAATGATATTTTCGTGTGCTGTTGTACCAATATGTACTTCCTTCCTTTGTCACAGAAGCTGCAGGATATGTTGATTCAGTAGAAAAACAAACCCTGTAATAACTGCAAAGACTTATAATCGTTACAGTCCCAGCTGGTTTTAATGCTTGTCTTAGTTCAATTCAATAAAATGACTGGATCTTAAATAGCACGTGCATAGATGTCCTTACTATAGTAAATCTCTTTCCTTCTTTCCCTTGGCTTCTCACAAGACACAACATCTTTGTAGCACTGCTGCAAGGCAGAGACAAGACATCTGCAGGAAAGAGCAGAGCTTGTTTTGCTGATAAGAAGCTGCTTTTTGAAACCGAAGTAGAAGTAGCCCCTCCTCTAAGCATGTGTTCTCTTCAAACATGTCACAATTTCCCTGTTGCTAAAGTCCATCCCGTCAATTTGTTCCTTGTTGATTTTGGCAGAAGATTCATCTAAATCAAATAAGTGGTGAAAAATTCCTGCTCTAAGAAAGTAAGATCTCACCGGGAAAGCTGATCATAGCCATTAAAATGTTGCACAAGAAAAGCCATCATGTCGCATTCGTATTTTCCTTGTCAAAGATTTTGCAAAATTCTGTGTCTTGACAAAGCAACTGTAAATTGTCTATGTCCATAAGGCACTGCATTTCAAATCTGGAAAATTGTTGGCTCTTTTACCCCACTGATAAAATTTGGCTTGTTCCATCTGCTTTCCTCGTTTCTCTGTGAGATGATATCTAAAAAAGACTTGGTTCTGGGAAGGCATGATGGCAATACAACAGCATATAGGTTATGCATGAGCTGACACTGTATCAGCTGGGCCCAGTGATAGCCAAGACTAAAGTGACTTACGGCACTGTCCAAGAGACGAACACGAATGTCTCGCTGGCAGAAAGGAATCAACAACAACATAGCTCTGCAGTCCCCAGCTATTTCTCAGCACACCAATCAGACTGCACAGCCACTGAAAATGTAGCTCTTCAGCCAAGACATTATGTTTTCAGAGTCAAAGTCAAACTAAACTAAGCCATGGTGAGTAAGACAGACCATCCAACCTGCTCTACCTAAGCCCCTGCTATGTTCTGTTGAGAAAAGATAAAATAGCCAACTGTGCAAACTTGATGAAAGAATTTATGTTCTGTTTTCAGACACCTACTCCATTTCAGCCCTTGCAGGGTCGGACGTCGCACTGCTGACATTTCAGTGGCATTAGGAGCTCGCTCCGAAAGGCAGCGACATCCAGTCCAGTGCAGCATGGCAATATCTACTTTCCGGCTGAATCCAGAACTTCTTGGGTCCCTGGACTCATTACACTATGGGAGGAGAGTTAGGTGCCTTGGCACGCAGTAAATGCAAGTAATTAATCCCCCAAATCAAGCATTCATTAATTTAACCCAAACTAAACACAGCTAATTTTGTAGCAATTTATTACAATTCAAATCAGCGGTGATGATGCCCTAGGAAAGGGCAGTAATTCATCCAAAATTGATAAAACCAAAACTAGTTCAAGTAAAAACTGTTGTTTGGTTATCATCAAACCAAATCCCAGGGGGCAGGCAGCAAACAAGAAGGAGCCTATACAGGGAAGGGTAAAGGGTTAGAGATGACTCAATATTTCACAGTATCATTGCAAACAGGAAGAGGCTATTTCATAAATCACGGGTCATTTCCATAACCTGAAAGCCCATATGTATACTAACAGGTCATTACAGCAAGGAATCACACATAAGATTTTCCATATTATTAACCTCAAGCAGAGCTCAAGCGCTGAGCACGCTTAAAGCCTGGTGTAAGGTCTGGTGTAAGACTAGTAAGACTGGAGAATGTTCTGGAAGACCCCTGGCATACACTGGTGTCATGAATACACCCTCATGTCTGCAGTAACTTTGTCTTCTCCTCCTCACCCTGTTCCTCTAATCCTTTAATCATTCTTGTAGCATTTGTCTGCGTTCAAATACATCAAACACCCTTCTTTCACCGTGGGCAGTTTTGGAAAGTGGTTCAAAAGGCTTGATCCCTGCAGAAGAGGAGGATGCAAATCCTGCTCATGTGAGTTTGGTATTGCCTGTGTTTTGTGGAAGGGAAGGCCAGAGGTTATCTGCTGTTTGTAGCCATTACGGAAGATGCCTCTTCAGTCTTTTGCTGGAGTTGGTCACTAGTTTGCTCTATTTCTGCAAACGGAGAGGGATGTTACCTGCTCTAGTAGATACTGAGGCCTCATCTGCACTATATTTCTGAAATAGTTCAAAATGAAGAATGCTGGTACTCGGGTTTTTTGAAAATGAAAAGAACTTTAGGTAGGAATTCTGTTTTGAAAACATAGGTTCTGAGTGGCAAAATAACTGAAATCAAGGACAGAAATTTTGGAATTTTTGTTCAAACCTTTCAAAACTACTTAAATATGCATAGGCGAATTCTCAACAGAACATCTAGTACAGAAGAGAAATCACTATATATTAGAACATGATAAATTTTCCAACATCACTTATTACTACCTTTTATTATGTACAGCTTCCTAACAGATCTCCAGTCAACAACAGCCTGAACTACTTATACTTCTGCAATTGTTCCCATGTGGAATTCTACTGATTGCAGAACAGTTAATGACGATCTACTAATTACGTAAGTAACTGTCAGACTTTATATCATTGGATGTGAAATCAGATCCATAAAATCTATTGTCTACAGACCTTTAAAGATGAGGCAGAGCATTACCCACTATTGGTAACACCAGCCTGTAGATACAGTGGGTGAGACCTATCTAAGCTAGACGTGTCGCTTAGAAGTCTAACTTTGAGCTAGTCTAGCCTCTGCTCCCTCTGTAGTCCACAGAGAGGAACAGACATCTCAAGGGACAAATTAGCCTCCCTGTAGCACAAGCACCTGAACTGAGCCCATTCCTGCGTAATAGTTACTCACATAATTAACTGTCTAGTCATTAACTGTCACACATAGTGGGACTCCACATGAGACTAATTATACATGCAGAAATAATGTTTGGGATCGGGGTCTTGCTAGATTGTGTTCTGCAAACAGATTCCTAAATTAGGATAAGAGGTATTGGATAGACCAGCCCTGGGATGCATGCAGTCCTCTCTGCAGAGCACAAGGAAAGCCTCAGCACAGAGCGGGCATCTGCTAGATGCATTAGATGTCTGAAGTTTGGCGAGATGAATTCCATTTGCTATTAGTGTCTTACGTTTCAATCCCTAATAAATGCTAGACCACTGACAACCCATTCACAGAGTCACTCCTTTCAAATACTTTGGTCCTAGACTGAAGTAGTTCCCAAACAACAGCAACACTATCTCAAACCTGTCTTCCTAAACTTAATCTTCGGTTATTTTCATCTGGAAGAATAATGTCAAAGCAAAATAAACAGTGAGGAAAAGCTCAAATGAAAATCTGTTAAATACTTAAACTTCTTACAATTACTAACTAAAGATAACTGGAGGATTAGGAAATACAGGAAGCACTGAGGCCATCATGCTCAATATTTAGCCTGTAAAGTGTTTAAACGATAAAGCAACGTATAAACAGTCTTACAGCCACCCTCTGCTGGTGGAGACCCCCAAGTACAGTGGGCTGGCAGCTGGAGCAGCCTCTCCAATTTCCAGGCTAGCAGAGATCAACACCTCTGATAAGCATTTTGCAGCACCACATGGTATTCGGATACACCGAGGACTTCAGTTGGAGGGGTGACCTGGGCGGCGGGGAGCTTGGGAGACTGCAAGCCCCTCCCTGCCCATCAGCATTACAGGGTGCCAGGGGTTCTGCAACAGGGGAACCCTGCCATTCCCTCACCCCACTTTGCAGCTGCGTTCAGCCTAGGTTTAAACTCAGCCACATCCCTAGGAGAGTCTGCAATGGGGGAAGAAGATACGAAGAGAAGGATTTGTGCCTGTTAACACGATCCATATTCTGCTTGCTGTTCTGTAGGCAAAACAGGTGGGCTAGGACACCACAAACCCTGCCTGAAGGTAGACTTTAAAAGCACATGCATACATTCACTTTATTTAAAATAAAATGCAAATCTAATGTTCCTGTTTTGAAAATCAGGGCTCCTCTTATGATGTTTACTGTTTTCTAAAGAAGCAACACAAAGCCACTTTATGCCTTGGACTTTGAAAAGTGAGCATATTCAGTGATGCCACAAAACTGGATAGGTGGATGGACACGAGTAGTTAAAACTGAATATTACAAGAAAGTTCAAGAAGTTCTATTTTATCTACAGATGGCTTCCAAGATAATCCTTATTAAAGTGGAGTGGCAGCCAGCTACATTTATTAGTGCATTAAAATGGGGGGGGAACCCTACAGAAGTACTGTTAAATGTTTGAATCTCCTCTTTAAAATGTTGTCAACTAGTTTTCAAAACATTTTAGACAAATACTGTAGTCATAACATTGTAAGAAAGGCTGGGTTTGCTCACCCTGCTGTAAAGTTTTTGCACTACTGTGAGTGGTGACTGGTTGGTTCCCAGCAATACCAGGGTTCTGCATCTTCACTGGGTATCTGCAAAACGGCACTTCTGAGGTATTTGAGGCAATTGGCTTATCCTCAGGTGTCATCGGTTTAGGAAATGGAAGGTGCTACTTTGAATTTTTAAAATGCAAAGGTTAAAAAATATGAAACTCGGCACATAAAGAGCATTTTTCATCTACCTTTTAAGTGTTATTTGCCCCCTCAGAGATTCAGTGGGAACCAGACAGAAGATTGTCCCCCAGAGATAAGAGATGCCAAAGCAGAGTAACAGCAGCCAGATATTCACCCAGATGTGCTCCAGTGCAAAACATGGTACTGAGGTGTAAACAATTTGCCTGCTGAATGTACCAGGAGATGATCCAGGTCCTCTGAAGTTTTTACTCAATAAGTCTTGTGCTTTAAGACCCTATTTTAATATTTGTTATTCAGATATTCCTGACTTATCTAATGTGGATACATGAAGCTGTAACAGAAAACATGAAAGAAATGCCTATGAAGAAATTTCATTTATATGCCTCTGCATAAAAATAGTCATATTTGTGCAAAGTGGAGAAATGTAAGTTGCACAGAATATGTAGGGATTTGCTGGGGTTTATGTAGCTGAAACATCTAGTTAAAAAAAAAAAAAAAAAACGAAATGGATCAAATGTTCCCATCAACATCTGCTCTGAAGGACCCTTGGAAAAAGTGTAGAGCCACCTTCACATCGTGAGCTTATCAGGGCTTCCTTACTTAGCAGAGGATTTCAAAACCCTAACACAAAATTACAGCTATAGGGCCATGGAAGAGTATTTGATCACAGTGCCTCCAAAGAGAGGACCAAGTCTTTGGCAGAGGTCACACACAAGATACTCTACAAAGGTATTTCTTGGACCATGTCTACATTAGCGTCCCCTCTGTGAACAAATGTGTAAGGACCAGCAGCTTTTTTCCACAGCCAGCTATGAAAAAAATGTGTCCATCTGATGGCACGCCAAGACACATCCAGGCGTCCTGTATCTAAAGACTGCTTGTGCTAAAGGGACGTATTTATTAGAGCAGCCGTTTTCAAACACGAAGGGGAATGAGCTTCAGGAAGGGGGACATAGAAGCCACAGGGACAGAAGGTGACAAAGGTAGAAGATAGCACCTCTTCAGACTGGTGTCCCCTCACCTCCTCCACCGCAGGGTGCTGCTGTCCCACCACCCGGGGCAGGGGATGGTGGAGGGCAGCACCTGATCAGACCCCTGCACCAGCTCTGGAGCCAGTCAGGATGTCCCAATACACAAGGAGAAAAGGAGGGCTCTTTCCTGCAAGCTTTCTTTTTCCTTCTTTAAAATGATGAGATGCAGTAGCCGGAATTCAGCAGCCACCAGAACCACCAGGTCCACACAGCTGAACAAATGGGGAATTATACTGGGGCTTCTCACACACATTGGGACATCACCTACCGATTGAACACAGAGTGCGACGTACTGTGTATGGGCGGCAGCGAGATATTACAGAAAGGGAGAAAACCCAAGGTTTGGAAAACCTGTGTGTTGACACAAAGCCTTAACACCCACGTATTAGCTAGAAACAAAATAGTGTCCAAAACCAAACGCCATTTGAGGGCGGTGGACATGAGCAAAATAATGCCTTGCAGTTCCCTGCCGTGTCGCTAACTGCGGAGCAGCACATCCAGGGAAGGCTGGGGTAGCCACCCTGTTGCATCCCACAGAAATGCACATTACCTGGAGGTTGTGCACATAAAGCACTACCACAGCACAGGGAAAATTCAGGTGCACGTTTCCTTTGGGAGGAGTAAGACTGACAAATCGACTGCACCCAAGAGGCAGATCCCCGAGTATTACAGGGAGGCAGGCATACTCCAAAGTCTTGGCTGTCATGATTTTTACCTAAATTTACCTTCAAATAACAGAGAACCGACTATAGTGAAAGGTTGGGATACTTGAGATACCATCAAACCACTGTGAATGAGGCTGCAATGCCACTCAGAATGAACGGCAGCAATGTTATCCATTCTGGAGAGCCGCAACACTGAAGCGTTGACAGAAACTTGTGAGACCCCACACGTACCTGCTTCCACGGCCAAGCACATCACATGCCTCGGTACTCATGACAAGGTTAACCCGCAGCCAAATAACCTTCTCAAGGATGAGGGTTCAAAAGAGAGACATGGTTAGAAATTTCAGCAAAACAAGAGGATTCACACAAACTGTGCTTGTTGGGGACCGGGCTTCCACGTTCGATTGGTTCTCAAGAGGGAGCAGCTACTCCATCCCAGGAGTCTGTTGGCAGCACAGAGCTGCTGTTTTTCCATGATTCCCCTGGCTTATTAATTTATATTTTATAAATTATCAACTTATGAATTATTAACACACATAATATATAAATGTATTTAAACTTATACATTTATATACATATACGCATCTATTTCCAGATATGTATTTATAAATATATTTACACTATTAAAATATTTATAATTATTAATTTATAAATTAAATGTTTAAATATTTACAATGAAGAGTAAGCAAATTAATTTTCATTGTACCAGAGCACCTAAACTCAACTCTTTCCTCACTCACTCGTTTCCAGGAGGTAGCACCGAGACAGTGGTTGCTCCAGTCACAATCTACCCTGGGGACGCGAGGAGCTTCAAGTGGACAGGAATTTGCAGGAGGCTACACGGGCCTCACAGGTACAAGCCAGTAAAGCACGACTGCCCTTCAGCCCCAGCGAGACGCAGTACCCCCTCAGCTGCACAACACCCTTCCTGGCAATTCACGCGAGGATGGCACCTGCCTCTACTTCTCCTCGCTTGTTTTTCCAGATAGGTTAACAGCAGCAATAATCTAACTCTTAGGGGACACAATTACTATTTTAGTTGACATTTGCTACAGCAGAGCAAGTACAGCCAAGCCGCTGCACATGTCACTTTAAAACAGCCGCCACCACATCATCCTCATCAGAGGACAGCATTCACCATTACTGGCACGGAGCCAGCAAGTCGTATTTGCACTGTAAGAGAGTTTACAGTGGCGAAGCCGACTTCACTCGTATCAGGAGCACTGCAAAAATGTTGATGTGGCAAACCAAGCTTAGCCTTTTCATCTATGATACATGAAACATTTTAGTGCCCGATTCTCTTTTTGCAGATTTACTCTGCCGTTCAAGGGCTATTTGGCTTGGTGTGCAGGGATAACATACAACTCTAAGAATTTCAGACATCAGTTCCATTGCAAGATAACAAATTGGTACAATCTGTAACTGTCATAAAAGGCAAAATTTCGAGGTAAACTGCTCCACATCATACTCCAGCCCTCTTCTCTGATTGGGATTTGTCTGGACTACATCTAGTGCTCCTTACAGACGTCAGGGTTGCTCGAGCTACCACTGCCTGGTCAGAAGTCTGCACGCAGCAAAACATTTGGCTGGGTCATGAAGCCTAAAGCAGAAAAACATGGTTAACAAAAGCATCCATGAGCACAAGGGACATGCTGCTGCTCCTCCCCCACAAAATAAACTGCATCCTTAGATGCATGGTTTAATGACTCAAGAGGCTTCAGCAACAAGCCCAAGGACTTCTGCTGTGCACCTGGCCACCCATTTTTAGCGTTGGGTTGGAAATGCTCTAAACCAGCCCACTAACCTGATCCTGGTTTTAGAAAACCACACAACTACAAACCTCCATTTCCACGCTGAGCCACAGAAAAGCGTAGACAGGGCAGGGAGGGTGCGTAAAACCCTACTTAAGAAACTGATAGCCCACTGTGCCACTCCAGATAGTTGGCATTGGCCTGAGAGGGAACAGTGCACTGTGCCACAGGAGGGCAAGGGGCAGAGACACCACCAAACTCCTTAAAGCAGCAATGCCACCAAAGCCTCTGTGACTTCATTCTCTGGGAGCTCAAAGCAGCGAGCCGAGGTAACACGCCTCCTGGGAACGCACGCCCAAAAAGGCTCTGCTGGTTACAGAACAACTCTGGTATGAATCCAGAACCTGAGGATAAGACAACAGCTCTACTTCGAGCAGTTGCTTAAATAGCTTCACACCTCTGCACTGAAAATCCTCTCCTTATGTTGTATCACGTCAAGCCCATTAAGACATAAAAAGTTTATCCCCACCTTGAGAGCCCTAGGTCTTGTGCATGCAGAAGAGCAAGGTTCAGAAGAGATTCTGGATCATGCAACTCAGTAAACTGACCGATCCTAGCAGGACCATTTTTAAATCTTTTCCATAGTCGTGCAACAGGAAGCCGAGGGCTGTAAGAGCAACCACTGAATTCATCCTAAGGAAGCAGGCTCGTGTAAACCCGACCTACGTGGACTGGGGCCAAGACATAAAGGTTAGCTGCTTACTAGGAGTCCACTGAATTATATCCTCAGGACACTGCATGTAAATAACTTGACAGAACAGAGCAAGTGAAGCCACGCAAGTGGAAACTTGGCCAAGAACCCAAGATACTCACCCTTGTTCCTGGTTTTCCAGGAAGAGGTATTTGCAGAGAAACGGCAAAAAAAAAAAAAACCAACCAGGTGGCTGAAAAGATAATGTACAGAAAGGCTAACAGTTTGGGTCGGCACCAGAGTCCAAGGTAAGGAAGAGGAGCAAACCCAGGGAATTCTGGCACAGGAGGTGCTATCAAGTGTTGTGTGCTTTTTCACAGTGCAGCATTACTTGCCCAGAAGGAAATGGTTTGTGTGTTAAGGAATGCTCCGACTGTAACGCTGTTGTTTAGGTACTCACACTGCCAAAGCTTGTACTTTAAGCTGAATCATATAGGAAGCAACGTGTAATTTTGCACCACCGCATCCAAATAGCCAAGGAACCTGAGAACACTAGCAGGCAGAGTCAGGGACTCCAGCGTTATCAGCTTAGTTGCAGGACTGTGTTAGAAAATAGTGCATAATTTGACACAGGAATCCAGTTGTTAAAATTAAATTTTCACCTGCGGTTATGGCTTTTACACTCTCCCCGTGTCCAACACTCGTTCCTACAAACCTCAAAATGTAAACAGAGACAAGGAGCAGTGCTGGAAGATTGCCATAACTGAAGGCTCACACTGCCTTTGTAGCAGCATTCATCATTTCCCAAAATGCTTCTTTCCCCTGTATTTTTAGTGGGCTTTTAACTTCAGTAGCTTATGTGACCTGCCAAAAAAAAAAAAAAAAATTTCCCTGCTGCTGCCTTCCCTTTTGTTGAAGGAGTAAAAGCTAATACCGTGCTTGAGGATTTGCCAGCTCATGGACTACATGTCTGGCACAGATGTGCACGTCGGCTGCACGGTATCAGTTATCAGCTCAGGTTTACCAGTACACAACAAAAATAGACCTTTCCAGGAACCATGCCAACTGAGCGAGGTCCACACCTATCGCAACCTTGGCCCGATGCCCCTACCTGCTTTATGCAATACAGGGCTTTATCCACTTTTGTGCTGAAGAGGGCAGCACACACATGAAGTACATCTGAACCAGCACCGCCCCAGTGTTTTCTTGTCCCAGGTGGAAGCACACAGGTGCACTTGCTGCGTGTATTAAAGCTGGAACATGGGCAACCAAAGGATTTACACTCAGCCCTTGAGCCCATCACTCATAATTTGCATGCCAGTCTCCAGCAACCCACGAGCTGGAACATGGGCAACCAAAGGAT